TCATGATACACTACCCCGAACTGGTCCCACCAAATACAGAGCATGACCTTGGACGTCAAAATCACGTTTTTGAAGCGTTGAAACCATTCACAACACGTTCTTTCACTAATAGCGGCCTCACCAGAAGTATTTGAGAGCATTCGAGCCTCAGCCGCAGATTTCTTCATTGAAGTAAAAAATTAAAACCTCCCGCAAATGACGAGAATTTGGCTCGTAAACTGACATTTTCAATCGAGAATAACTTTATGATGCAGACACAAAACTAATCGACTAATGTTTCTATGGGGTTATGTTGACAGATGCCCAAGTTTATTGTATGACGTCTATGATCTATTTATTTCGACCACCACTTACCGCTAAAGCCATCTATAGGAAAACGGCGGAAGCAAAGTTGTATATCTAATACTAATAAAAGTAAGTTTATTCCTTTATTATTCCATTCCCATCAATTGAATAATAACGCGCGTAAAGAACAGATTTGAGGCATCTTATTGGTTCCATCATATTTTGTCAGCACTAATAGAATTAATAACAACTTGGTCAGACTCATTATAAGGAGTTTAGTATGTATTACTTGTGGCACATACATGTTGTACAGGCTCGTTTACATGACAAGGGGTAAAGCAGTGATGCTGGATGAATTTCAAACCGCTTGCAACACGCGATCAGCGCCACCGGTCGATGGCCTAGCGCAACCGATAGCAAAACAAACATGAGTCCGTATCCGTGTGATTTGGTTAGAAGCGTGCCGACTATACTCTGATCTTTTCGCACTACGTTCTTATTGCTTGCCTCGACGCGCTGAGAGAGAACCGTAGTCTCACTCAAGCAAGCGTCGAGCTACCGAAATAGTGGTCAGGCCTATATCAAAAGACATGGTGACATTCTAGATGCATAATATAATTTTTAATAATGTAAATGTTTTAATAATGTAAATTGTAATAATCATATAGCCCTCCCATTAATCTAGAATATTATAAATCGTGTCAAAACGTAATTGACGAGAGATTAATTATTTGTGATTTTCCGTGCGTGTTATATACCGCATTAATAAATTCGATCCGTAAGAAATAGTGTGGTCGAGCGTGTAAAGTGTGACATCGGAAATAAGTAATCAAATTAGTAGTAAATATATATATTAGATCAAATATATTTTCATATAATTTTTGAAATTATTCGCATGTGTAGTTTTTAAGTAACAGCTGTAGGAAAAAAACTGATTCGTTTTTCAATAAGCTATTATAATAAAAAATTATTTTAAAATTACACAACATATGAAGACTTTCATTTGTGCACTACAAAATTATACTGGCATCATCTTTATTTATATTAGTAATGTCGTTTTCGAAATTTTATTTATTAACAAAATTTTAAATGCGGATGTGATAGAAAAAAACATTTTAAACAAAATATTAATCGACACAAAGTATATTTGTCATAAATGCAATATCATTAAACATGTTTTTTTTATACTAATCTTTCATCGATTAAATCGAACACATATCGATTATTTATTTTTCCTACAATTTTAAGATACACGAATCATTTGTTATATGAAAATATATTATTTGATTTTATACAGATAATTAATTCAATTACTCATATCAGAAAAGTATATTAAGAAAAAAAGGAAAAAACAGGATTTTCGCATGGGACTATCAGCGTATTTTATTTGCCACATCGATTAATTGAGTTTGACATTTACTAATGCAGTGTAGGATCCACATGATGAACGCTCTCGTGTTCTCGTATTCTCAAGAATCTCGGCTTCTCGATGCAACATACGATATCATCAAAATATCTCTCTCTCCTCCCCTCTCTCTCTCTCTCTCTCTCTCTCTCTCCCTCTCTTTCTCTACTTCCCTATACATTTTAAATATTAATAAAAATAAAGTGAGATGTGTTAGATATTATTATGCGTACTTCTATGAAATACATACCATTTAAATTTGTGAGTGTGAAAATATCCACTCTTCGCCAAAATGTACATCTTTTAATTTAAGTTGTTATAATAAAATTAAACTTAACAATTAAAGGATTAGACCATCTGATCTAAAAATTATAAATATTTTGGGAAATTTTTTTTTGGAAAAATGGATATAAAACAAAGTTTATTTTAAAGCTTTTGTAGTATAATTCTTTGAGAATTTGAGAATAAAATTCTTATATTTATTATTAATTTTCGTTTAATAAAATTGACACGTTACACTAATTGTCTTATTGTCAAATCGACGAGGGTCATTCGATTGGAATAGGTATAAAGAATCAAATATTTTTATTTTTTATATATTTACTAAAAGAGTGCTAACGGATACTTCCAAATATTGATTTTTATGAAAATGAATATTTAAAATAAAAAGTTGTGACTGAAAATGAGACTTTTTTTCAAACATTCTTCATTTTTTTCATATAAAAATAAATATCTCGAAGTATTCATATGTACTATTTATAATACATATAATAATACATATAATAATAGTAAATATTATGTAAAAAGGAAATGTTTCGTTTATAAAGATTATGCATTCCGTGGATTTTCTCCGTGTCCAGATCCATTCTTGAAATGCCAAATTTTTTGTTTTTTTTTTCTTCCAAGTGGCAGATGACCCTCGCAACGCCGATTTGACAAAAAGCAGTTAGTAAAACGACTCCACAATTTTGTAAAAAAGAAAAGAATGTTCTATTCCTAAAGGATTGAATTATACAAATTTTAAAACAAACTTTTCATTGCTTCCATTATTTTATCAAAAAAATTCCCAAAGGTGCCTATGATTTTTAGACTCTCAAAATAGTGTAACGCTTCAATTGTTAAATTTTATTGATTGGGAAACAATTTATTTAGATTTTTCAATCAATAAATATTCTACTAACACACACACATAACACGCGCGCACGCGCGTACGCGATGTCAATTAATAAACTGGTTTTTTATTTATAATATATTTTATTTTTTATAATAATAATTGTAATTATAATAATATTGAATTATGTGGCCGGTATCACCACTGCTATTAACTATTGCTGGTGGCAGTAGTGTCCTGAGCATTATGTTCTTCGCGGCTAGCTCCGTCTCCGGCTCCGCGACTTCCTCTTTAGTATGGAGGTTCTATCCCTTTGTCTTTTATACCACAATGCATAGAAGCGGTCATGTCTCATCTGTTTCTACCTAAAATTAAAATTTATAGATAGTTTTAAAATGTTTATATGTATTTTATATATGCAAAATGTTTCAAACTTTTTGATACACTTATGAGCAGATGGAATGGACTAAACTCGGAATCGGAAAGTTTTCTATTATTTTGCAATTTTTGCGATTTTTGTTAATTAATCTAATGAATAAACTTTTTGAAATCGATATAACTTTAATCTTTTAGAGTTCTTTAAGAAACATCTTTAAGTTATTTCATAAAAAACTTGTATAATATACATATATAATATGTTAGGTATGGGAAAAAGTTCGTGACGTTTTTCCTGTTAGATGGCATTAAAAAAACGCCACGAACTTTTTCCCACCTAATATGTCTAAGAAATAATACCTATTCTTGGCCGCTCCCATATTTGCTGCTGCTATGGCTTGCAGCTTGCAGCCACGTGTTATTCCTGGTGCTGCTCCTGCTGCTGCTGCGGTTGTGGCAGTTGTTGTTGCTGTTGTTGTTGCAATTGCTGAATTAGTTGAGATTGAGAATTCAATCTCATGTCCAGCTTTTGCAGTTGCAATACCACCTGGCAGCGATTTTCGCTGCAGCTGTCTCTGGTTTCCTGCTAAAATATATAAATATTATAAATATAACTATATAACAAGTCTGAAACAATTACATATCATGAGAACTAAAACTGTTATTTAATTATCAATTTTATATTTCTATGCCTAACTCGGAACATACTCTAATACTTTATTTAGATTGATACTGAATTTTAATATTTATGCCAATCTACATCTGCGATAATGAATTTGCTGCAGGGATTTTATCATTCCAAAAAATAGTATATAATTTAAAGTGTCCATTTTTAATGATTACGTCAAATATGTCTTGAACAGTACACTTTAGGAAAAAATGTTTCAGACAAAAGTTTTATGATTTCAAAGGAGACATAAAGAGATTCCATTGTTTCATCTTAAGTGATGTTGTTAAGGTCAAGATTACTTTGATTATTTTTGAAAATTAATTTTTGAAATGAAATTCGTCCATTTTTCATTTATATTCCCGTAGCTCACTTCAAAAGCTTTTCACTACATAAAATTTTTTTTATTTTTTATATAAAAATGAAAATAACAGGAACCTCCAATGACATCTCTTTATGTTCCCGTTGAATTTATAAAATTTATGTCTGAAACATTTTTCCCTGAAATGCACTGTTCAAGAGATAACTTAACGTAGTTATTTATATAATAATAATAATAATAATAATAATAATATTAATAATATACCCTGTCTATGGTATCGGATTATTATTGCATCTTTAATATCAGTATTATATATGTAAGATTGTCAAGTTAATATTTCCAGGACATACCTGATAGTTGAAAAAGAGATTATTATAAATTATTTGAGTTAAGTCTCTTATATTAAGGTCCACATAAATTATAATACTGATCATTTTTTATGACATTTTAACTTTTTAAAATAACTTTTTTTTTTAATAGAAAGTTAAGTCGAAAACCGTAGGACTTATATTATTCTTTAAGTTTTTTATGATTATTTAGAAAAAAATCTTTCAAGAAAACTCAGTGATGCCACAATGCACAAAGTTGAATTGTATGAATTTTTTATAAACTTTCAATGTAAGTATTCAAGCAAATCGACGGTTGCGATCGTAAAAAGTGTATTAAAAGTATAAAATGAAATCTAAGATTTCGTTAAAATTATATATTTGTAGGAATTTACGGAAAATTCCAGCCACCTAGCGATTCTAATTATAGTATATCGATTTTTATTTATACCAATACTCTAACAGCACAAAACTTCAGAGGGCATCTTGAGACGTCCAAAAGATGTCCGTATGTTCTTTGAACATTCTAAGGACATCTCCAGGATATATTCCGGATAAAGTGTGTTATTAGGGTATTTGTAATAAATATAAACAGTACAGACTTATTATTGTTGAAATAATAAATTGTTTGCACTCACCTTTCGCATCGTCTTTTCGTTCACTCCGTGGAGTCTGCAGCTCCTCACGCGGAGTATGTGTATATGTGAAATCGCGTTCGCGAATTGATAAATGAGCATCGAAATTTTTTTGCAATAGTGCGTTATATTCTTGTTGAGCAGTTCCTGCTCGCACTGTTGATATTTGCCACATCATTTTCAATATTATTTGCTATAATATTGAAAGTAAGGTGAGATTTTACACACAAATACAATATTTTACACATTTTATATTTATATATTGTAACACATATTTATATTTAGTTAACAGCTATATAGAGACATGTGTGACGAATTAACTAAAAAACATAAGCGAAGTTTTTCAGAAGCTTGGCTTATAGACGAAAGACACAAATCTTGGATATGCGAAGTATCATCTGATAGCAGTATGTAATACTGCAATGTGTGTAATAAAAATTATTCATGCGATTCAATACATGATTCGGGACATGCGAATTCTGCGTGTCATAAAAATAATTTTGAAAATAATACATTGTCTATTAATGATGATACTTCAATTAATCATCTATTGACGAGTCAATTAAAAAATGTAACAACATTAAAAAAGAAATGGTTATATTTTGATCAGTTCAAATGTTGATTACGCGAAGTACCACATGATGAAAATTTATTTTATTGTTTAATTTGTGATACCTTACTGCTCAATTATGTCACATCTATCGTCACGCAGAATCCAAGATACATATAAAGAAATGTGAAAGTTCTTTTAATGAAACAATTGAATCGAATGAAGATTTAAATATACATTATTCGAGCGTATAAAAGAAGCAGAAATAAGATTTGCCACATTAATCACGGAAAAAAATATTGCTCATAGAACTACAGATAACATTCTTAGTTTGTTTCAATAAATTGGAAAGGATCCTAATGTATTACAGAACGTGAAAATGAATCGAAAAAGATGTATAAATATTATTACGAATGTTTTGAGTCCTGTTGAAACAGAACGTATTGTAAACAACATTCAAAATACAAAATTTACAATATTTATCGATGAAACATCTGACATTTGTAATGATAAATAGATAACTTTTCTTGTTCGATATATTGAGCCAAAAACATTAGAAAATCGAATCGCAATAATTAGTTAAATTAATTGATGCTAGAGATTACAGCGCAGAAAAGTTGTATGAAGCATTCAGAAATGAAATGTGGACATTACAGATACCATTTACAAATATTATTGTCTTGTCATGTGATAATTCATCTGTCATAACAGGGAAACATTTACCGTTTAAAAAAAATTGGAACAAGTATGTCCACGTTTACTAATATTTTTGCCCTTGCATTCCTCCGCGAATTAGTAGCGAATGCTGCGTGTAAAAAAATACCCGATTTTTGCGAGGAATCTGTTAAAAAGATTGCTAGATATATTATTAACAGCAGTCCAAAACATTCGGTTGTATTCATTGAATTTTGTGACTGAATGTTTTCAAGAAAAAAGTCTTAAAATATTAAAATTATGTGAAAGTTACGCGCTGGCTTTCTCGCTATTTTTGTGTTGAAAGACTTTTAAAATATTGGGATACAATCAGATACTTTATGAAATAGCGAAAAAAATAGATTCTGCCAAAAATTTATTGTCTATAATGAATAATGTAAAGACAAAAGTTTATTTTCTTTTCTTATAGATTCTTTTCTTATAAAATGTAATATATATATATTACATTTTAGATTTTTTTAACAAATTTAATACACATTTTCAGTCATTAGAAACATGAATTCATAAATTGCAGCCAAAATCTTTAACATTACTTTATAAAATATGCGAAAATTTTTTAAAAAATGAGCATTTACAGTGTTTTTCTGTACATATACTGTTCTCTTTAAAGAAAAATCAAAAAAATCTTTATGAAATTAACTTAGGAATGTCAGGAGTACCTTAACGAATTAATGATGCAAGGGGACGAAAACGTAGTTACAATAATTCGAAGTAACTGCTTGATGTTTTACGTTACTGCTACTGAAGAAATTCGTAAAAGATTGCCTGTGAACGATATTTTTTATTTTAAAATTAAATTTAAAAAAAATCAAAATTAATGTTTTTGGGCCTTCTGTATGTTTACAAGATACTGATAGAGAAACATCATTCAGTAATTTCGTTCATAGTTCAAACTATTGGTGGTTTTGATGAAGACGCTTTAAAGAAAGAATGATTTGCATTGTCATTAGATTTTGCATTACAAAAGAAAATCAATCTTGCTTTAAGATTCGATGATATGTGATATGGAAAAAAACAAATTTTGCAATCTCAGTATCCAAATAACATCGATAAATATCCAAACTTAACAAAATTTCTGAATGCTATACGATCACTTTCAAATTCAATTTCTCCGCTAACGTGGAGAGAATTTTCCTTTTTAACTGATTTAAAAACAAAAAAACGCAACAAATTATCGCCAGCTTCTGTTAATGTCACTTGCATTGTGAAATCAGCATTAAAGGCAAGAGGAAACTTCTCTAACTATGACTATCGAAGAAAAACATTTGTCTCGTATGTCGACAAATATATTGTACAGTGTTGCAAAAAAAAACGAACTTTAGGATTATATGCTGCTTATATAAATGATATTGCTGGTCCTTCGAGAGCAGATTGAACTTAAATATCTATCAGAATATAACGTTTAAAAGCGAATTAAAAATTGTCCGTGGGTATGACGCTTATAAATCTAACCCAATGAGCGAAATGTCTACAATCGACGATAAGACAACATTAAGATTTCTTTAAAAGTTCTTTAAGAAAAGTTCTTTAAGATGTTTCTTAAAGAACTTTTAAAGAAATCTTAATGTTGTCTTATCGTCGATTGTAGACATTTCGCTCATTGGGTTAGATTTATAAGCGTCATACCCACGGACAATTTTTAATTCGCTTTTAAACGTTATATTCTGATAGATATTTAAGAAAGTTTACAAAGATTAAAATAATTTTATATTTTCAATATTTTCAATCTGCTCTCGAAGGACCAGCAATATCTTAAAGATATTTCATAAAGAACTTTGAAAGGTATCTTATATAAAGTTGATTTTGCCTCGATTTCAGATATTTTACTTATTGGGAAGGAAAAAGTAAGCGTATTATAATTCCCGGACATAACGCTCAATAGCTCAAAAATATTGTCGCACGCACACATATATATAATTTAAAATATAATAATTTTTATTTTTTGTAATTTCATGAATTTATATGATTGTTAATAACTATTGCGTACGAATTTTGTTTGTGGAATGACGCTGGTACGAACCTTGGAAGATTCGCCCATCAAAGCCGCGTAAAATAATGACGATCTCATTATAATAATTTAAGCTTTATTCTTGAATCGGAAGATTTGTTCGAAGCGGGCAGTAAACAATGCTTGTCCGAGAATTGATTCGCTCGATTAGAGCGTGCACATATAACTCGCACTTTAAATAACGACTTTAAATAATTTCTCGCAGCCGTTAGAAAGAATTCGTATTGCGGGTAGCAATGAGACCAGAGAATCTTGCCGAAGACTCATGTAATCCTCATGCACTGAATGCCCTCGCAATCGGCATAGATCAGTAACGTTACGAGACAAAATACAGCGTTGATATGCGACGTTATATATACTTTGG